GGTGTCCAGAAACACTTTGATTTTTGTAAAAGGTCAATGTAAATATGAATAGAATTACAGTGTAAGACAGTAAAAGTTTTTATTCAGTATCAAATTCTTTGATTTACAACGGTAAACCGCATAACAAAATATAGAAATTGCTTTAAGAACAAAATTGAAACTTAAAGAAAAGAAACAAATCTGTAAAGCTTTCAATAACCTTACACTAAAAAAATGCCAGCCTGGTTTTTTTTTTACTCGCTTTCAAGACCCCAATTTGTTGAATTTTTCTTCCACTCTGAATCAATTTTTAAAACAATAAACGATAAACTGACACTACCCATCGCACAATGATTAATGTTGGAACTGGTAACATTTCTGGCGCTAAACAACAAACTAACCAAACATATTTTATTATGAGAGAGTATGGCAGGTAATTTAGTGTTTACGACTGAGTTGAAAACCGACCCAACAGATCCATTAAGATCACTTTACGTGTATCTCCGCCGATGTCATTCATTGCATAACTAGTTCTTATTGCAATAAGTTATACATTGGTGAAACAGGAAGACGACTAGGTGATCAATTCCGAGAACACCTTCGCGACGAAGAAAGAAATGACAAGGACGCATCCAAACCTCTCGCTAGATCTCCCTAATCATTCTAAACAAGATATGGTGTTTTGCGGCCTTTCCCTACCTCTAGGCAGTTCGGTATAAACGAGTGCTTTTCATTCAACTAATTTATTCTTGTATTCTCGTCACTATGTTCCCAACAATAGCACAGCTCCATTTTAGCGTACAAAACCTACAATTCCTTCAATCGCTCTGACGAAGGGCTAACGCTCGAAACGTCAGCCTTTAAACTCTTTACGGTGGTCAATTTACGTTTTCAACTCAGTTTTTAATACTTTATTCCATATTTCATTATACATTTTCTGTTACAATGAGAAAATAATGGCAATTTCTTTTTCTGATACGTTACATAATAATACCGTTCTAAACTTTTAGCCGAGTTATATGGTAGACTTCCTACTGTTTTTTAGGCACTTAAATTAAATATTTCTATATTAAACGAACTATCGAAATTATGTTCAGCACACAATCAACTCAAAATAACATTTGTCGTACTGAAAAGGAACAACAAAAAAGGAAAAAAAAGCACCATTTCTAATTTGTGATGTAATATTTGCTTGACTTATCGATTATAATTACCATTTTGGTATCCTATTCATACGAAATTTGATTCGGCTTTTACATCATTTAATAAATATTTCAACCTAGATTTGACAAATTGGCGAAACTCCCCCGCTGCACAAAGTTGCAATTAGAAAAGAAGATAACTGTCGACTTATCGAAAACTCCATCTCTGAAAAATATCGAGACAAACAAAGTTGTTATGTAATACTAAGCAAAATCTCTGGCTTAATAACCGCAGGAACAGAGATGTTTAAAGAAATACATTTACTGAAATTAGATTTTAAAATTGTTAGGGTCCCTGCTTCAAAGTTTGCAGACCGCATGTACCCTGAAAATGATATGGACTTTGTAGAGGCTTGAAAATGTCCTCCCACAATTGCAAAGCGGTATCCTCGTCCAGAGATTTCCAATTCACTACCGACTCGAACTGTTTGAATCCAAGTGGCGCCTCTTGCTGTAATTCTTTCAGACTCTTTCTCTTCTTCGCCGCTGCTGGTTGCCGGTTGCTTTCAGTGGAAAAGCGATCGGGCCAGGCTCCATCAACAACATAAATTTCCCTTCGACGCCACCGAGGAACGACTGTCTGTCTCTTCAGGACCATCTTTTGATTTCCTTGTGATCCTCGCAGTGCTGCGCCATCTTCTCGTATCTTGGCTGGTTTTGTCTTTCGTGCTCCCATTTTTTCTGAAAACGGTGTGTGTTGTCTCTGCCGGGAGCCTTCCTACAACTCGAAGGCAGCTAGCAGTGAACAAAAATTTACAGAAGATGGCAAACGACCTGCTATTGGCCATTCACTAAGAACAGAAGTGGTTGCACCAGACGAAACCCAACAATGGGTGTCTGCTTGAGGGGCTGAGCCTTCACGCCGCAACCATGTGATTCAATCGAACTGGCATTGAAGGAAAATCTGGACAAGTGACCCTTAAAAATTTTTAATAAGAGTTATTTTTTGGGCTGGGTGGGTTTAGATGGGATACTTTGGGTACCTGATGCTTTAATTTTGTAACAGAAAAAAAGGACAACTTTCAAAAGAATTAAAACATCTCATTACTTCATATTAAGAAGAAAGAAAAAAAACCTTATTTATCTGAACTCACGTAGGTATTTTGTGGTCTACTGTCTCTTTTATCTAAATATTTCTGGGCGAAAATAAAATATATCGGAGCCACGATTACTGTTGTTTTCTTCACCTCTAATGTTTGATCTTGTCACATAACGCTATCTATTCCCCGTTGGAGAGAGCGCGCGTGACGAGGCCAGGTAACGGTTACGAAAGGAACTGCACTTACCGCCGTTTCTCTAACAGAGAGAAAATCAAAGTCATTTGCCTCAAAAGTATAATTCCACGTACTTTAAATACAAAAAGCAAACTGAAACTCTGTTGTATCTCCATCATACCCTAACCAAAGATATATTACGATCTAGACGTGGGGGAAGATTCATTGAACAAGAGAAAAGGATAATATTTCAAAGAGGGCTCCTTGATTGGTCGTTGCCTATCTGGACTTTGCCCTCTGTGTCTGAAATACGTGACAAAATGTAGGTTGTTTCCGAGGAATTAACACACGATTGGGTAAAGTCCAAGGTAGCTCAAAGCAAATTATATTCGTAGAAAAAGTCAAAACGCTAAAGAACTATGTGGAAAATTCACTATCATTAGCATTTAGTTCCATGTGAATCTTTTTCAGTAGGGTTGGACATTGCGGGGCGAAAGCTAATGTAGCAAAATGGATTTTGATTGATGGAATACAATTCAAGCAGGTGTAAAATTGCCTGATGTTCATTTAGTGCAATGATTGGGTATGTTCTGATTGGACTTTGGACGTTGGTTTCATGGTACGTGATGGAATATCAATTGTTCGGCGTGTGCGTTGTGAGTAAAGGAGCGGAAAAAACACGTTTTAACTTTCATATGATAAAAAAGGTTAAATGCGAACCTTTGTGCACAACCCCTGATTCCATGACATCATTTGTAAGAAGAAAAAACACCCAAACGCAATGATTGGTGCAAGCTTTCCAATTGCTGTGATATGATTGGTGCGAGATACATACCTTAATGTGACGATCTGATTGGTACGAGATGCAAACTCTAATTATATTCGGCGATCTAATTTGTGCAGGCAATATACCAATCAACACGCTAACACAGAGTTATTTTTTATTTAAAAAAAACAACTCAGTAAATGGCAACATCCCTATGTTGTTATGTAACATTAGTTTGACTTTCATACTAGCTTGACCATTTTGGGCGAAATATTCTACAGTCTTAAGAATGTTTGATAGATATTTCAACCTAAATTTAAAAAAAAATAATGAAAATCCCCCGCAGTATAAAGCTGCAATTAGAAAAAAAGGTATGTGTCGGCTTTTTGGAAACTTCATTCACCGAAAAATACGCTAACAAACAAAATTTGTTACGTAATGTAAGCCAAAATCACTGGTAAATATTTTGAGGAAGAGATATGTTTGGAAAAGAACATCATGAAAATTCCCGATCCCTTCATTTAGAGAAGGTTTACGTCGGATTTTTGGAAACTTCATTCACTGACTTGAAAAGTACGGCTACAAACAAAATTTGTTACACAATATAAGCCAACATCTCTAGGTCTCGTCTAAGCAACAATAGTATCCCGTTCATCGTTTTCGGGGATGGATGAAATTTATGGACAGCCGATATAGATGTTGTTGTTTTCTTAAGCTTGATAGTATACTCAATTATTTATTGCAGTATTTCAAATTGGTGAAAAAAATTTGTCTCACGATCCGGTAAACGTGTAAAAAGTGGGACTTTTAATTAACCGATTACGCAACCAAAATAGGAAAAAATAAAGCTGTTTTTATGTAACAGAAAGGTGTGCTGTTGCTCACTTTCCATTCGCATGACCCGTCCAATCCGCTGCGGACTCGAAGTTTATAAACCCAGGAGGAGAATCATGTTGTAATTCTTTCAAAGTCTTTCTCCTCTTCACTTTTGTGGGCTCCAAGTTGCTGAAATCTGAAATAGTGAAGTAACTTGGCCATTCCTCCTCAACCGTAGCAGGTTCCCCTTGATTTCTTGGAGGTTGTACCATCTGCACGTGTTTACCTTCGACCCTCATTCGCAAAGCGATATCTTCGTTCAGTAATTTCCAACTCACAGCGAACTCAAACCGTTTGAACCCCAGAGGTGACTCCAGCTATAATTCTCGTAGACTTTTTCTCCTTTCCGCCAATGGTGGTTACCCGATTTGGTTCTCAACGGAAAAGCAATCTGGTCAGGCTCCATGAACAACATGGGTTCCCCGGCCTCTGATACAACCGAGACACGACTATCTGTCTCTTCGCTACCCTCTGTTGCTTTCTTTGTGACTTTCGCAGTGCTGTGCAATTTTTTCGTTTCTTAGTTTCTTTTTTGTTCCCTGCTCCCATTACTTATGAACTCGGGGTTTATTTCACCGGAACGTCTGCAAGTGTGGAAGGCCACTAGTTGTGATCAAATATCAACAAAATATCAAACGTCCAGCAAAAAAAATATATATTTCACAGTATCACTGACGTTCATGGATCTTTTTCGGATTCAGCGCTCGGGTTTGGCGTTCGGAGGCTCCTGAACAACGCGAAAGTCAAGGGTTGCTCTCTTTTTTTCACTCTGCGACTCTAGGAAAGGACATGTATATGTCAAATTTTTTTTGAACGAAACATGGGAGCATATAAAATTGAGGTGTCCTTTTAAAGGCTGGTAACATGAAAGACAAAAGGGTGGGGAAGATTTATTCACGAAATATCCAAAGAGGTGAGGAGAAATGAGATAAAATCCCTCCACTTTGACACTTCAACAGCAGCAGCGTTAAACTATTCTTCAATTTTATTTTCCTCCATAACATTACGAGAGAGATTGCAAACAAAACGAATTTGCGTTTGATATCAGTTATTTCGTCCCAGACAAAAAGTCGGACAATTGTTTCACGACGTACCGTTTGCGACTATTTACAAATCTGATTGCAGAACTTTCCAAACTGATGTTATCCTGAATAACAAACGAACCTACCGAACGGCAGTATCTATGTACAAGCGCTTTTAGTTAGTTAGTTTCTCTAAAAATGATGCGACAATTATTTAAGGGAAACGCGTATTAAAATCGCAATCTGTCACACAGGGAATTACGTGTCACGCAGTCACGCAAAAAGGAAGCAGAAATCTTTGGGGCGCTTGCAGTTGTAGACCTATCCAGACTCATTTTTTTGGTCCAACATCTTAAAAGCATCTATAATGCCGAGACTTTGTGAGAAAATTTCCTTCCTTTTTGTGAAACATAAGTTAAACTTAAAGATTTTATTATCTTCTTCCCTTTGGGAAATTAAAGGAACGTTTCTTGGGATTTGTCTTATTGTCTTGTTCATTGACTCTCGTGCCTTCCCACTAATACGACCTTAAAGCTGTAAAAAAAGAAAAGAAGCGTGTTACATGTACAGTCAAGTATACTCGTGAACCAGAGAATAACAGAGACCAACATCGTGTAAAAAGAGTGTTTTCTGCAAATCCAAAACTAAACAATTACATCAGCCAATGAGAGCCAAAGAAAGTCGCTCAGAGAGCCAATGAGATCTTTAAAGCAAAAACTAAGAAAACTGTGTAGAGCGTGGGAAAACGCAAGTAACGAAATCGATATTGGTTGAGAGGATGACCTGGTTTTCTGGGCCAATCAAATTTGACTCTCGATCAAAAAATTGCTTTGACTTGCCGTGCAACGCTATATCCCGTTTGTGATTTAAGTAATACTTAAGGGTACTAAATTGACATCCTCAAATGATTTAGCAATAAAACTTGGTGCAAAAATGGGGTGGGATTCGGGTTCCAATGCATGAAAAAAAATTTTTTGTTGGGGTTTTACAAAATCATTTGAAATAGCTTTCTTCTTTCAATTCTGACTGATAATCATTTATTTACTCACCGAGAATGTTTTGGCAGTAATAACCATAATATCCCTTGGAACAAAGGCAGAATTTTCCTCTCCAACAGGTCCCACCATTTCGACAATGCGGATAACAACGCGCTGAAAATATAGAGTTGAAACCTATTTAGTAAAAGAAGTGATCACCTTTTGGTTAGCGAAAGGGCTGGCTTGGATCGAGCCCTGGCTAAACTAGGCCGCCCTTGGGCAAGACATCTCCAATCAGGCGCATAAAGGAGGAGGTGCAAGACTCCAGGTAACTTCGGGATAAGCGCCTTCATTGATGAGCCACGGGGTCTGAAAGACTAAGTCTGACGGCTAATAACAATTGATCCGGCCTTGTTTTCAAGGCCGCAAAATATTGTGTGGCTCAATCGACGTATCCTTTAGTATTTAATTTTGACACGAATTACACCAGAAAAGGGGATAGTTCGTGAAGAGGTCGATACTCCCTGAGGATTTAAATGGCTATACCAGTCTATCTACATTTCAAAAAAATAAATTTCACCCAAGGGAACGTACCTTTTTCGCAGCTCTTTCCGTGCCAGCCGAATGGACAGGAGCATTTGTTTGGCTGATAGCATACGCCGCCATGCATGCAGGGCGGGTTGCATAATGCTAAAACGAGAGAGGAAACATTGATATAAACTGGTGGCAAAATAACCGAACCTTTTACTTCCTAACATCAATTTGCATATTCTCCATACTGTTCTTTAAACATTTCCTGAGGTGCTAACAAGGAGAATTTTTCGAACAATCAGAGCTTCTTAAATTGGTGATTATTCCCTTTACTCTCGTGACCTCAACGTTTGATATAGGAGAAATGATACTGTTTAGAAAAATTAGATGCTAGTCACTTTTAGAGGCTAAAGAGTTGAAAAGTTGTAACTGTAAGTGGTATTTGACCATTTCAAAGTTTCCCGTCACCTTCCATCCTCAAATATGAAGAGTCTCAATCAATAAACAATGCATCAACCCAAATACCTTGAAGGCAAGATTCTCCAGTGAAACCTTTGGCACAGCGACATTCGTTTGGACCCACGCACACGCCGCCATTGAGGCAAGGCGGGCTGCAGGAGGCTGAGGAGAGAAGAGAAACGAAAGCGTCATGTAAATTACTCAAAGGTACTATCGATACAAAATTCTCAAGAGTATTCATTCGTACTTTATCTTCATACCGGGCGATTTCAAAGGTGTAATAAATGTTCGATTTATGCTACCTGATCCCGACAACATTAAACCAACCAATTTCAACGAACCAGACTTATGCTATGATATTTGACCAACAACTCCTCACTTAACTACTCTGATAATGACTTCTGCTTAGGTTGTGGAAACCCGAGCGGAAGTCACAACTCGATCCTGAACCAAGTCTATGGCAAAGCTCGCGAAGATCTCCGTACCTCATTTGATAAGGCATCTGACAGCTAAATCGGAGATAACTGAGATTTGTGCGCTTTCGATGTACTTAGTATTGTCACTAAATTGTTTAAAATCTCTCTTCGATTATAAGATTCCTATGAGTGGATCCGATACTCACGTCTGCAATACGGCCCCGTAAAACCATGAAAACATTGACACACATTGGGCTTGATACACCTGCCGCCATATTGACATGGTGGAGTGCACAGTACTGCGGAGAAAAAAAAAAGGAAAGTAAAAACACTGAATTAAAGTGAAAGATAAAGTATGATTAGCGTACAACACATGAAGTTATTGATTTATAAAACCTAAAATCTGATAATATAAGGAAAAGCAACGCCAAGGAGAACGTCAATTAGAAAATCGAAGTTCTATTTCGCCAGTGGCTCATTTTTAAAAACTGCCACTGGAAAGCTGACCGGTGGTTGAAGTTCAGGAGTTTGTTCCTACTAGTTTTAAACTCAGCGAGACTTAAATATGTATTTCTAAATTGTTAAATGATCACCTTTCTCGCACTGTGTTCCCCCATATCCTGACGGGCAATTACACTTGTAGGGTCCCACGCAAGTGCCGCCATTACGACAATGAATCTTGCACTCCACTGTAACCGATAAACAAAGGTTAATTCAGCATGTGAGCTAAGAGGTTCTTCCCATCGGATAGTTTTCCGACTCCAGTGGACTTGGAGTGTTGCTAATCCCCTAAAATTTCGACTGGTTTCCCTGATAGTCTGCCATTACCCATCTATACTCCTGATTTGAGGGAAGCACCGCGAAAGCAAAAAGAAACAACACAGTAATCAGCAGACCTTTTGATTTTAGTGCACTACCCACAAGGCTACCGCGACTCCCACTGGCAAAGGTTAACTTGAATTCCATAAATCTCCTCATGTTTTCACGCAATTTTAAAAGGTAAACGACACGAATTAAAGGCTATTGTAATTTTATTCAAGAACTAAACTCTTAACAAACCTTTTTCACAGACGTCACCATGGTAACCAGGCTGACAGCGACATTTATTACGACTGATACAGAATCCGCCGTTTAAACACGGAAGATCACACTTGGCTGAAAATCAAAGAAAGAAAATAAAGCTTGTTTACTTGCACACTTGTACCTAATTGGCTTCCTCAATTGTGAACCTTTCTATTGATTGGCCCTTGTTATAAGTCAACGAGGCTTCGTGATTGGGTCAAGAAGACTCGCGCCATACTTTGGACCAATCAGAAGCAAGACGAAAGCTGGTTACGACTGGGTGACACACATTTTCCCGCGCTTGAGACGAGCAAATGACCTTGGAGATCAAGCTTTACTCTGACTGTTGATTTCTCTGGTTTGTTATTTATCAAGACCTTATGGAAAAGTACTACATAAAGCCAATCTTCTTTTGTGAAAAGCTAGCTTATCCCGCGCAGGACAGTTTGCCAGGGTTGCCATGACAACTAGCTTACCCGTTAAGGAATAGGTTATGTGTGCTTGCTTAGAAAGATCCCAGTCAAAACATCCCGGAACCAAGCCAGCTCGCTTGACGGGACAAATTTGGTCTCCTTTTCAGATAAGAAATTTCAGCCCAGCTAACGGCTGAGACTTAGGGCTCATTACTATTCCTAATAAGGTGTTCAACCGAGTTATCAGCAAGGGAGTTAAATTTGGTAAAATTTCAAGACCGGTAACCGAGACCTCAGGCGGCGAAAACCAAGATCTGGGTTATTGCACTGGCTCGTCTTCTCATATGGCGTTGCAAGTTTTACCAGAGTAATGGCAAAGTGAGATCCAGGAAACGATCCGATACGAAGAGACCCAGAAGAAGTTACATCTCTGTGGCTCGTTTTTCGGGTCTGCAAAAGAACTATTACTTTTATTAAAAGTGGGTGGTCGTTTAGTACCTGGGCAGTCTTGTAAGTAACAATCTTTGACCTCAAACGTTTGGAGGGCTTGAAGGCACTCTTCTGTTGGCCGACCGTTTTCGAAATTACACGTCATTAAGCGTTGCCTTCGGCCTTTACCGCAAGTCTTAGAGCATTGTGACCATTCCGACCAAGAGATCTCGACTGGGGGAAAAAACGTTGTTAAAACATTTAACAAAACAGAGCAAACTATCGTTATAGTTTGCCCTAGATCCCCTTGAGTTGCTCGCGATTCAGTTTCGTGAAACCAACCAAAGTTATTACGGTGTAATTAAGTATTATCAACTGAGTTGATCACGTAAATCGACCACCATATAGAGTTTAAAACCATAAAACCATACGTTATCAATTCAGTTGATAACACTTCACTGCCCTGCTATACTCTTCCACCGACGCAGCACCACAGTTTCTTTAGAAACTTACCCCTTCATTCAAAGTTATCAAAACTGGCCGTCGGAAAAATTGGAAATAACACAAGGAGCCAATAAGAATTCAAAGTAATCCCATAAAGGCCTGTACGGGATTTGAACTCGTGACCTCTGCGATACCGGTGCAGCGCTCTACCAACTCAGCTAACTAGCCAACTGGGAGCTGGTCATTATGTTGGTTCCACATAAACCCGTGAAGCGATGAATAATTGACTGTGAACATATGAAAGTCATATATGGGAACTGTGGATAAAGACGTGAATATGAAAGCGATCTTCGCAGTCATGAACACTACTTGAGCAGTACTGAAAATAAGGCTTGAAAAGATTCAGGCCTGTGCGGGATTTAAACCCATGACCTCTACGATACCGGTGCGATACCAGCTCCCGGTTGGCCTGTTAGTTCAATTGGTAGAGCACTGCAAAGAGGCCAGTTGTGATTAGGTCTAAGTACTTTTCCATTCATTTGATTGAGGGAGAATTTCAAGACCGGTTGCGTGCCAAAATAAAGCAAATAAATGCAATCCAGGATTGCGTTTTATTATCAATTAATTATTTCTTTATATCGAATATCTCAAAAATCCCCTGAGCGAGATCAAAGTCCATCCTTAGCCACCCCCTTTTCCCAGTCTCTCCCCAACCACTCCTTAGAGAAAAACACACTATTGGCATCAGCACTGAAATTACAACTTTCCTGAACAAACCTTCATTTTCAGAATCTTCAACATAATTTGGCGTACCGGAGCCTTCTTTCCCGTAGATTTCCGAAGCACTAACTCCACCACTACCTTCTATTTCGTGAGCGTGAAAGACCTGCACAACAAACCAAACATTTAGGTTCGTATGAAATTAGGCAAAAGGAAGTCATATTCGCAGCCTCGCTCGTCAACACAGCCTGCGCATGTGCGTGAAACGACAAGGCGGCGTGCTCTCAGGCTGTCAGAGCCTGTTGTCTTTCAAGAATAAACAATCACACAAGCGAGCAAGTCGCGGTGTTTGACCGCTCTGTTTTACTTGTTATGTGATGTGGCTAGGTCGATGTTCTTCGTACCGTCATTAAGTCCCGCCCGTGGTATCACAATACCGTTTACTGTTAGTAGTACAGAATTGAAGCAATGTCATCAAAGATCGGTATTCTGTCCTGTTTACAGAAACATATCTAGTTCTTAAACTTTATCAAATTACTCGCAATGATCAACTGTATGAGTTAGAGTTGTTGTTTCCAAAGTTCGATTTTCATCTTGCTTGCTAACATTTCTTATTTCCTGATAAAACTCACTAAATCCTTTATGTTTATCTCTAACCCACTCACTGGTTTGAATATTGGAGGGTCGCATTGTTGTCTTGATGCGCCGGGATCTGGTACGAAGTACAACTCGCTGACCTCAACCTAAAAAATATAGCAGCCATTTCGTGAAATTACACCAAATAAAGGTTAGTTATCACTCAAAGGTCAAAGCAATTCGGTGTATGGAACAGCTTTGCTCTTTTATCAAAGTTAATTCAATGATTGCTCATGCATACATTCTGACTACGCTGGAAAAAAAAGAAAAAAAAAGGCGTCGAGGTGTTTCCCTGCCTTTTCTAGCACAAACTTGATGTTTTCCTTGCTCTCCCCACACATGACGCAGCCTACGAGGTTTCACGCCCTACCTCAGAGGTATCTCGATATTGTCCCTAAGTTTTCCTCCACAAGACCTCTCTGTATTTATTCTAGTGAGCATTTGTTCAACTTTTTAGCAGGTTCAATATATTCCTCGAAAAAAACGCCGCCTCCTCCTGCTTGGGCGCGTTTACTCGAGGGCGGTGGAGGCGTTTACTTAAGGGTGACATTACGTAATAATTTTGTTTCGAAGGCGGCGTTTATTCGAGAGCGGCGTTTAATTGATTAAATACGGTTAACAAAACATAGATCCAGAATGTCTTTTCATCCCTTCAGAAAATTTGCTGTTGTGTTACGACAACAGGGTTAGTTATTGTTAGTAATGGTTAATTGTCTTTTTCCTCTTTTGAGTTTTGTTAACTTATGCTCTCTCCATTTGTTCGTTAGATAATTCAAAGAAATTAAATTAAGAATTCACTTAACCATTGACTGTGGTAGTTAAGTAATATTTCATCCGGTATCCACCAACTCACCTCGTATCTCTCTATGGACGACACAAGCAGTGGTTCCCCGACGCTGATTTTACCCATAGCATCCGTAACGAATGAAAACTTTT